GGATGGAAGTGGTGGGTCAGAAGAATTGTCAGTGTTAGTTGGCGGCGGAGAGGAGGAGGAGGAGGAAGAGGCGGGCGGGGGTACGATGGTTGGTGCCGTTCGAGAGGCGCAGTTAATCCGAAGATGTCCAACAAGTCCGATTCGAGCCCGGAATGTCCGTTGACACCGAGGACACGTTGGAAGCGATTATGCGGCGGCGTTGCGTACTGGGCGAGGTTGTGATTTGCGGGCTTCGCGTTTCGCTTTGGCGGCAGCGATGCGGTTGGCTTCGTAGAGCGCAACGTCTGTCTTCACTGTTCTCCTCCAGGTCGGTCGATCGAGTGCGAGCTCCTCCCAGTTGGTGGGGTTTATTTGCAGGCGTTTCAGGCAGTACTTCAGGGTATCCTTGTAACGGCGAATTTGGCCTCCTTGACGGCGAGAACCTGTCGCGACGTCTCCGTAGAAGAGTCGTTTGGGTAGTCGCTCGTCGGACATGCGCACCAGGTGGCCGCTCCAGCGCAGCTGCATTTGCCTCAGTATGGCGTAGATGCTGAGGATTCCCGTCCGTTCCAGCACATCAGTGTCGGGGATTCGATCCTGCCAGTTCAGCCTCAGGATGCGACGAAGAAAACTGAGGTGGAAGTGGTTCAGACGGCGTGCCTGCTTTGCGTACACCGTCCAAGTCTCCGCTCCATACAGTAGTGTCGGCAGGATGACGGCCTTGTACATCTTCAGCTTCGTACTCAGCTGAAGACCGTGGCGATTCCAAACTGTGCTTTGGAGGCGACCGAAGGCTTGACTGGCATTCGAGATCCTGTTGGCGACTTCGTCGTCGATCTTGGTGTTGCGGGAGAGAGTACTGCCCAGGTACGGGAAGTTCTCCACCACTTGCAGTTGGGTTCCGTTCACGCTGATTTGCGGCGGCGCGTTGGGGGCTGTGACTGAGTTGGGTGGCGGTTGGTGCATCATCACCGTCTTCTGCGTGTTAATGACCAAATCGAAGCTCTCGCAGGCGGCGGAGAACAGGTCCATGCTCCGTTGCATCTTCTCTTCCGAGGTGGTGTTCAGGGCGCAGCCGTCGGCGAAGAGGAGTTCGTGAACGGTGGTTGTGGATATGCGCGATTGGAAGTGCATCCGCCGTTGATTCAGGAGGTGACCGTCCGTCCTGTAGGCGATGCGGATCCCGGGGTGTTCGTCGCGGTAGGCGTCCATCAGCATGGCAGAGAACATAAGACTGAAGAGGGTTGGTGCCAGCACACAGCCCTGCTTCACTCCGTTGGTCACTGCGAATGCCTCTGAGACAGCTCCGTTGTCCGTGACTCGCGCCATCATACCGTCGTGCAGCTGACGCACCATCTGAGTGAATCGCTCCGGACAGCCGAATTTCTGCATGATCTTCCACAGTCCTTCACGATTCACCGTGTCGAAGGCTTTCGTCAGGTCCACGAAGGTAGAGTACAGGTGAGTCCGCATCTCCTGACACTTCTCCTGAAGTTGACGGGCGGCGATGATCATATCCGTGGTCCCACGGTGACGACGGAAGCCGCATTGGCTTTCCGGCAGAAGGCCCTGTTCCAGATGGTTATTGAGGCGGTTGAGAAGGATGCGGGCGAAGATCTTCCCGGCGATGTTCAGCAAGGAGATGCCACGGTGATTGTCGCAGACTTGGCGATTCCCTTTGCGTTTGTAGAGATGCACGATGGTTGCGTCTTTGAAATCTTACGGGACTTCACCTTGACGCCACATCTCTTGGAAGAGCGCAGTCAGGTGATCCATCAGTTGGGGGCCTCCATGCTTGTAGACCTCAGCAGGGATTGCGTCCGATCCGGGTGCTTTCCCGCTGGAGAGCTGCTGCACGGCCCTGATGGTCTCCTGGGGAGATGGCGGGAGGTCGAGGTCCACGTTGGTCTCCACTTGCGGCAAAGGCTCGATGGTGGCGTCGGAGATGACGGAGGGGCGGTTGAGGACGCCTCGGAAATGCTCGGCCCATCGCTGCAGGATTTGCGTCTTCTCAGTCAGGAGAGTACTGCCGTCAGCGCTGAGGAGAGGAGCAGTGCCCTTCATCGGCGGACCGTAGACAGCTTTGATGGCGGAGAAGTTCTTCCATTCGTTCCGGTCCGCGTAGCCTTGCATCTCCTCAGCTTTACGAGCAGTCCAGGCGTCCTGCATCTCGCGCAGTCGTTGCTGCAGTTGGCGGCGACTGCGGTAGAAGGCAGCTTTGGTGCCATCAGTGGGGTGATCTACGTAGGCTTTGTGTAGGCGGTTCTTCTCAGCAAGCAGATTTCTGATGGCGGCGTCGTTGTCGTCGAACCAGTCCTGGTGTTGGCGGGGAGCGCGACCGAGAACGGCGAGCGCCGTCGACTGGACCGTGTCTCGCAGTTGACACCAGCGGTTCTCCACAGAGGCGTTCTCGGCAGCGGCGGCGTCGGCAGCGATAGGAAGATTGTCTAGCCTTTGAGCTACCTCACCCACCCACCCACACACACACACACACACACACACACACACACACACTTCTCACATGTGTGAGAGTGCCAGAGGTCACTTTGAGAAGGGGCCGTTGCGACCTGACTCTTAGCCTATCAGGACTCCACTTCACACAAGCACGCACAACTGGGCAGACTGCGTGGACAGAGTTGAGGCGTCAGTCGGTAGCTTTTCAAGCCACAGCGCTTGGCGCACAGTGATATTCTCGGACTCGGATCACACATGCAGCGAAGAGGCCGTATGGAGAAGGAGCAGAGAAGAACACTTTACACTTAAGTGAGGGACGGCAACTGAGTGCTTGCATTGTGAGGTGATGGGTGATATTGTGTGGTCAAAGTGTTGTTCGGAAGGGTGCGATAGTGTGGTGTAGCCGGCGGTTGTCTACCGCAGGTTTTTGTGAGTGCGTACGTGACCTAGTGGGCCCAGGAGATGGTTGGATGTGCGGGGACAGTAGAGGCAGTTAAGACGAATGCGTCTGGTATATGCTTGAGTTATAGACACTAGTTCACGAGTCCTGCCCTGCAAATGGGCCACGTGGTAGATGCGCTGGACCAACACGAGGACAAGTCGGATTCCAGCAGGCGTTATTGGAATTGTACACCATAACAAATGCCAAAATTTCGGGGTACAGGGGTAGACCCGGTTGCCGACAGACGTCGCGCACACTGGGACCCTTACCGCCCCCCATTGTTGTTGTTAGTCAAAAACCTGGTTATTTGTTGTGTAGCACACGGTGGACATCGTCGGCAACGTCTGTCGAACTGTCGGTTCACCAGTCTCCGTGCGGTGGATCTGCAGGTGGCTGACTGGGCCGATATAAGCGGTGAGTGTGCGGGGGGAGTGTGGATAGGATAAGGCGAGGGCATTGAAGTCGGTTACAGTGGTGATAGGGGTGGTGATGCGGTTGCTGTTAATGGGCGGGCTTGACGATGAGGTGTTTATTGAGCTAGGAATGGTGGGTGTGCAAGATGTGCTAGGTGTGTCGATATCGCGGTTAATTCCATCTTCGTGGATACGCATGTGACCGATTAGGTCCATGCAGTGAGTAAATGTGCGGCGGCACTAAGGGAAGTGAAGGCGGTTGCGGCGAGTGTAGGTCGGTGCTCCAGGCACTAGTTCGCCAGTCTCCGTGGGATGGATTCGCAAGTGACCGACCAGGCCGATGCAGGAGACGAATGTGGATTGCAATGAGGACAGGTATGGACCAAGTCCACATCGGTGGAGTTGAGGGTGGCAATGGTGAATGTGTGGGCGATTTTCAGGTCGTTAGGAGCGTTTTAGTCGTTGGCGGTGGTGACAGAGGTGGCTGCGCCCAGCGTCGTTACGGTAGCGGAGGTGATAGTGGCCGACGGCAGTGCGGCACGGGGATTCGATGGAGTATTGGTGAGGGTGGGTGCCGATGTGGTAGTGCTAGAGGTTGAGGCAGGCGCGGCCGTGGAGGTAACAATTGCAGTCGTCGGACGGTTGATGTATTGAGTCTGAAGATGACCGACGAGCCCGATCCGCGAGCGGAATGTTTGCTGATAGGGCGGGCACGTTGGGTGGGGTTGAGCGTTGACGTTGCGAATCGGAGGCGCCTGAGACTTGTAAGCAGCCCTTCTGACTTAGGCGGTGGCGATCCGGTCTGCTTTGTAAATGACTGCGTCAGTCTTCACTTCTCTCCTCCAGGCTTGTCTGTTCTTGGCGAGATCCTTCCAGGTCTCTGGAATGATGCACGATCGCTTAAGAGAATTCTTCACTGTGTCCTTGTAGCGTCGTTTTCGGCCTCCCGGTTAGGGAGCACCAGTGGCGACATCATCATAGTTGAGTTGTTTCGGTGTAGGTGTATTTCCCATCCTCACGAGATAGCCTCTCCAACTAAGCTGCATTTGCCTCAACGTGGTGTGGATGCTGCGGATTCTGGGCCCTTCTAGAACTTCTGTGTCGGATATCCTGTCTTTCCACCTCAACCTTAGTATTTTGCAAAGGTAGCTGAAGCGGAAGTGGTTGAGCTTCCTGGCATGAGTAAAGTGAATGGTCCAGGTTTCCGCTCCGTAAAGAAGCGTCGTCAAAAAGACGGCCTTGTACATCTTCAATTTGGTGTTCAGTTGGAGGCTGTGGTGATTCCACACGGAGTTCTGTAGCCAGCCGAAGGCTTGCCTGGCTTTGGAGATCCAGTTGGCCACTACGTCGTCGATTTTGATGCAGCACGACATTGTGCTACCTAGGTAAGTGAAGTTGTCCACGAGCTTCAGCACGATGTCGTTGACGTGGATGCAAGGGACACTTTATTCGGCGTCAGATGGCCGTTGATGCATGACCACCGTCTTGTCCGTATTGATGTTCAGTCCGAAGTGGACGCAACCGGAGGCGAAGATATTTATGCTCTGCTGCATATCTTCTTCGGTCGCGCTGTTGAGTGAGCAGTCGTCAGCGAAGCGCAGATCGTAAATAGTAGCGGTGGAGAGGCGAGTCAGGCCCTTCACTCATCGGCTCTTGAGGTGTCCGTCGATCCTGTAGTTAATACGGATCCTGGGGCGCTTATTACGGCAGACGTCCATCACGGTAGGCCCCCATCAGAATGGCAGAGAACGTGAGGCCGAAGAGGGTAGGCGCTAGTACGCATCCCTACTTGACTCCATTGGTCACCGTAACTGCCTCAGACACTACTACTACTACTACTACTACTACTACTACTACTACTACTACTACTACTACTACTACTACTACTACTACTACTACTACTACTACTACTACTACTACTACTACTACTACTACTACTACTACTACTACTAATACTAATGCTACTACTACTACTACTACTACTACTACTGCTACTACTACTACTACTACTACTACTACTACTACTACTACTACTACTACTACTACTACTTCTACTAATACTAATGCTACTACTACTACTACTACTGCTACTACTACTACTACTACTACTGCTGCTACTACTACTACTACCACCTCCGCCACAGGCGGGATTTGAGGTAGCAAATCGAAACACTTGTGCGAAAATTAACTCGGAAATTACTTGGAATTTCCACTAGGGACACGTAATCCTTAGTTCCCTGCTTACGGTCGGCCACACTCAAATAGACGGTGCCGGAGTATTTCGCGTCCACTTCAAGTCGAGCAACTTTGCAAATTTGCAGAATGTCAGACCAATATTCAGGTCAACGTTTACAACATGGCATGAACGCTCCTGGATGGCCGGTAGCCATAAAGACATAAGCCCTCGGACAGACAAAATCAATGATTAGTTAACTAGTCCGTCTTACAGACTACCTAGGGTATAAAACGCGACGCCACTAGATGAGTAACGCTTGGCAAAGCCGGCGGACATACCACTGCCTATGTCCGATGTTTCATCCAAAACACACAAATCCAACATACCCCTTTGGCCAGTCGTTGTCCTGGGAGGCATCTATGTTACCACACAGCCATACGAATTGTAAAAAAATTGAAATCTGTGCTCGTGTACTCAAAGCCCACGCCAACCTCCCGGGAAAGCTGTTCAATATGGTAAACTTATGATTTCGTCCGACTTAGCCCCACCCTTTACCACAATCCACGATCATGCCAAGACGACTTGGTGGGATGTGCCATGAACCGTAAGTATTCCCAAAGGCCAAAAACCTAGTGAAACCGCCTCCCTTCCGCCAGTTAACATCTTCCATTTACAGTTGAGAGGTGTACGGGCAGATCAGAGGGAGGCCGATGGTTTTACCAATCCGTAACTTGCTTGTCCAGCTATTCCTACAGAAGCTAGAAAAGGTCATTCTACCTTTCATGGCCGCACGACGACTCAGCTCGCAGAAATAAAAGGGGCCGTTCGGAGGGGCTGACCCCATTGCCCTAAATCGCTTTCAGTACCCTAGAGAGAAACCACAAAGTAGATTTCGTGGGCATATGGACGTCGATGTTAGCCGGTTACAGGGTAAAGCAAGAGCATCTCACATTTACCATTATTGAGCAATTACTATTGAACCCCGCACAGGTCTGGAAGCTCAAAAGAACATAATGACTGTTTCAATGCTTGGCTAATCTTCGCCTGTGTCTTTTAAAACTTGGCATACACACCAATATATGTAGGGTTTCCCCCTTTTTGTCTTGTTTTTTTGACGTCAATGTCCCTCACAGTTTTCATCCATTTCATTTAATGGTTTCTCTTGGGATTGAAAAATTACTTCATTAGTACAGGGTCTGGAGATTCAGTCTTAAAACGGTTGGGCAACTGTTACTCAAGTACCTAGGACAAGTAAGTAAGGCACAAAGAACCTGAGTTCAGTCCACCACGTTTTGCGTTGACGCCGATTCATTGATCAAATTGCTGTACTTGGCCCAATGAGTTCGCATTTTAAAAATATACAGTTGCTAAACGATGCGAAATGAAGTAAACATTCCATGGGAGGGTGTGTATGGACCGGAGACGTTTAAATTGTTATATACGGTGTGAATAAGGTAAAAATGACCTTCCTAGGTTTCAGGGACGTAGAGCTCATTCATACTTTAGTAGACAGTAAAGTTGCATTTTTCCTGCAGCCGCCATAGTGTAGGTCGCGTAAGTAAAATTGACCGGAGATGAGCTTCGACGCACTGGGTGACCCATCGTAAATTCCCCGCTTACATGGTCACAGGTGTGATGGCCACCACATGCAAATGAAGCAGACTTCCGACTTCAACTAGCTAGCGGAAGTTGCTGCAAAAACCACGTTAGAAGGAGTGCACTGCTACCTGACCTTTTGTCCGAAGAACAACTGGGTGCATAATTGCACCCGACTCCGTTTTGTGCAGAAGAAAGACAATGTTATCGTGTCGGCCTTGGATTTAGTTCTCCACCCCCTCATTACTTCATGTCCACGATATCTATAGTCCTAAGTTGCTATTTTTGGTTTTACTGTGCTCTTCGTTGGTGACCGCGTAACATAAAGTGACACCGTTTAGCGCCTTGAGGCAGTCAGCCTCCTTTCAGGGAGCACGAGTTTGCATTCACGTCAAAAACTGAACACCTCCAAAATAAAGAGTTCGAAACGCGTTTGGTATTCTGCTACAAACCGTGAATCCTCTCGCAGGTTTTACTAGTAGCACATAACACCAATCAAATACGTTCAAGTTAAACTGTTCTTCTGTCATCGGGACTCATTTCCTTCCACTCCTCAACCAGCCTGAGACCCTTCTTACTGTGTTACATCAATAAGACGGGTTCCATTTTTTTCATCTGTCAAGTATAAGAAGGGACCTGTCAGGAATCTTGTTGACAATCGGGGGAGGGGGTAGCTTCCACTCGAGATTTCAGTTGGAAGCCTTCTTTCCGTCTGTTTTGGGCAGTTCCCTTTTAGGTAGACCGGAAAGTCTCTCAACTAAGGAATACTGAAGCCAAATGATCTAGATCAAGCCTCAAATGACAACTTTCTTACGACGCAGACGCATTTATGTGAACTTGGCAGCACTGTTTCTGTAGGCATATGTGCTGTTCAGTAATCACCGCCCAACTACCGTGGACAACAATCAGCCGATCGATGAGCGACAGTCATATGCCAAATTTGCCCATAGCATTCAGGAGCATAGGTCTTCCGCATAAACATTGCGCTCACCAAACGTCAATGAACCGTAACCTGACTGGTGGAGACAGCAGTCTGAATTTTCGGGTGACGGTAGGATTTGTGAAATGTTTTGTATTTACAGTGAGTGACCGATCTCGTGAAATGTTGGTTGAAATTCTGAAATGCGTTTTCGATTAGGAAGGATTACTTAGGCGCGGTTGTGACACGAATTATCTTGAGGCATAATCCTATAATATTTCTAACTCGGTAGGATGTCAGCTTTTGAATGCAATGCTTTTCAAACTCCTATAGAAATCGTACTCGGTTAAAAAATGACCACTTGAATACAGGAGTTTGAAAAGCAGTGCATTCAAAAGCTGACATCCTACCGAGTTAGAAATATTATAGGATTATGCCTCAAGATAATTAGTGTCACAACCGCGCTTAAGTAATCCTTCCTAATCGAAAACGCATTTCAGAATTTCAACCAACATTTCATGAGATCGGTCACTCACTGTAAGCTTTATGCATGGAGTGCAACAAACCAGCTGCACATCAGCAAGGCTTAGAGGTCGGAATTATATTTTTAGCGGCAGTATCAGATAAAGACAATCTTTTCAGTCCTAAGACTATACGCTTTGGTACGATAAAATAAGTTACTTTCTGATAGAGAGCTGAAATAAAAGAACTACAAGAGAACAAACTGTCGAAATAATCGAATAACAATGAAATTGCTTCGTGAAAAATTTCTGACGCCAAATCACTTAGAAGTAACACGAGTGTCTTCCCAGCTAAGATAAGTAGTTCTTAAGTTTTCGGATCTCCGAAAACGTATTAGTGAAATTGGTAGCTCAATGGGGTCTGGAGTATAGCCATAACGAAATTGGCATTACTGCATTCGCAGGGTAACTTTTGCCTACTTGTGAAAGCGTAAGTCCTTAAAAACAAAAAAAGATTTGCCAGTCACCAACAAAAAGTAAGAGTGAGAAGTCAAAAGGACATTTTTAATTAACGGAATTAGTTTTCGCATGATACGCCAGAGTTAATTAGGCTGTATACTAGTTTCAGTCGAGATGCTGACCGAAGGGTGGACTCCCGCCGGTCGTAAAAAAGAAACGTGACTTGAAAGTCAACGATGTGCATAGAGTTCTACCATCACAGTCATAAGCACAACGCAGCGTAGGTGACCAGAAACGTATTAGTTCTCGGCTTAAGGTGGACAATTCAGTGAACCGACGATTAACTAGACTGCCTCAATATCCCTTTACAGTCCAATACCCAAAACTTGCTGCCACCACCACCACCACCACCACCACCACCACCACCACCACCA